TTATATTTGGTATGAATATGAAAACTATTAATAAAGTATTTATTTTAATGAAGGATTTAATTAAATATTTAAAATTTAATAAATATATTTAAATCCTTATCAGTTGTCTGACGTACCATAGCTAATATCAGATTCTAGATAATCGATTGTCGTCGACGTTAAGTGATAACTAGAAAGAAATCTAAGAAAAATATTATTTTATAAACATTTTAATGTATGTATATAGTTACAACTTACTATCTAGCTATAATAGTAAGACTACATTTTGTATTTAGTAGGTATACACTTCAACACTTGTACTTGGGAATTACAATTAAGTATAATRAGAAATAAAGTTTTTAGCTTTAGTTGATACCTATCTTATCCTTCACTTTTCGAAATACGTTTCACGTATACGTTTCACATATATTGACAGATATATAGATACTTATTTGTCATTCAGAGAATCTAATAAAAATCCAAATGAGACTATCTTTTATAAATAGGTACTTCAAACAATTTTGGCACCAAAAGTCCAGAGTTCGTATTGTGACAATGACGCATCTATATTTTTACATGCATACATATATTCATAGTACATACATATTACATATATACATATATCTACTTATATACTTACATACACACACATACCTATATTTATACATATAACAGTCACAAATATATTTTATAATTATCAATTAGATGAACAAGATAGGTAATGAAATAAATAAAGAATACCAAAATCAAATAATGATGTGGAMAAATTATTAGACACATATAGGTGTWAAGAAATTTTAATTTCAAACATAGTTACGGCAATCAACCACTTTATTGTATTATACCGAAAAATAACTAAAATAGTATGAATATGAATATGTATAATAAGTAAATAAAAACAACCGTATTCACAAATAAATATTTAATTGTATCCTGGTTTTATTATTTAAAATTCAATTTATCCTAAGTTTTATTTTGGAGTCTCCCGAAGCAAGTAAATCAATAAATATATGTTCAAAACAAAGTAAAAAGTGTTTTTTCTAATTATCAAATAAAAATTGAAATACACCACGTTAACTTTAAAATAAAAATTCTATAATAATTAGGTACCATAGATAATACAATATTTTCTTTTGTAAATAAATTGGTGCTTTTTTAATGTGGCTTAATTATACATTTTATTTATTTTGAGTTCTACTCAGTCCTCTCAAAAATAATTGAAAATTATACTTACCTAGTAAAAATATTTCAAGATATTTTGTAAAATAACTTTTTTTAAATAGCCCAATAATATTTCAACTTTGAATTAATAAGATAAATGTTATACACTTCACAAGAATATAAGTTATTTATACTTTTARGTTTTTAACTTAATAACAATAAAAGGTTAGAAAATCTTAAATACGAATTTTCTATGGAAAAAAAATCATAAACATTCAAAAATTATTATAACACACAAAAAAGGGATATTTATTATTTTTCATATTATYCAAAAATTATTTTATTTTTTTTAATATTAATATTTAATTTTAAATATTAATGYAAGTTATCCAAYGTAAAGAAAAATTAAATTAAAAAATCGATAAGTATGAATCAAAATAAAGATGACCACGATGAAGTGTGAAAATTCTATTTTTAAATTCACAATTTTCAAGTCCCGGTGATAACATCTATAATTTTAAATAATTTCTTTTATAGATATAAAGATTTGAAAGTTTAATAAAAAGTTATTTGTATTACCTGTATATTATAACTATATCTTTACCTGACTTAATTTTATAAATGTTAAAAGTTATAGATGTAGCAGAAGATATAGTCCAAAAATTAAAATTAACCATTGAGTAAGGGTAAATTTATACAATTAGTTATATTTTATTATAGTTAATAATAAAGTTATAAATATTTACATGTTTAACATTAACATAAGTTTTGATTTTAACACTACATAAACAATTTAATGWGAATATTAGTGAACTGAGATTCAAACCTATAACATTAAATAAAAAATTATATAACACTTCTATCGGATGAGATTTTAAATTGTAACCTTTTTATCTTATTTATTTATTCATATCTATAAGAGATCTAATTCYATAGTTCACCMACGGCAATGATCTATTTCGTATATGTGACAAAATATTACTTGATGATATTTTCGAATGTCTTGTTAAATTTTAATCACACTTCACWTTGATTAATCATCTCAAACAAATTATGCTTTTAAGCTACGATAGGTATTTTATTTGTTTTAAAGGTTTTAGTTATTCTATTATTATATGATTGGTAAATTAATATATTCATAATTATTATGCACGCTTGTTAATCACCACTATAATAATATAGCTGCTATATTGTWGCACAATACTGCGGTCAAGTCATGATAATACATTTTAAGATAAATGAGGGTAGTTAGATAATAGTCATTAAAATTAAATCAAACCTATACATAATGTGTTTTTAAAATTTGACCATATATTAGATCAGCTCGTAATGTTGTACATTTAAAAAAAGTGAAAAACCAGTTCATATTCATTATTTATTTATTAGTTTATAGCAACTTCAATAAAAATTTGGTTTTAGGTTCAATTTATTATTATTATTACTTGTAACGCGAATGTATATGRTACTCGAATAACTACGATCAACACATGTATTACGTACGACCTCATTTTTAACAGCCACCTTACATTATGTCTGTTTCAGTTATTCGACTACCTAAAGGAATTACGGGGTGTGGAAGTGATAAATAAAGTATACCCGATCGCCGGTGACGTGAGTGAACCAAATTTAGCCATCAACGAGTCGGACCGGCGTTTATTGGCGGACACCGTGCAAATCGTTTTTCATGCCGCTGCCACCATTCGGTTCGACGAGGCGTTGAARAAAGCCGTCTTGCTCAATACTAGAGGCACGAAAATGGTATTGGAATTGGCCAAGGAAATGAAAAATTTGCTGGTACGATTTTGAACATGTCCATATTATAACATTATGTTTGATCATAACAACATAATAATATTATTATCGTAAAAACCAATTTGATTTGCACCATGATGTTATACACAAGTTTAAAATCTACACAGGTATTTGTGCACGTGTCGACTTCTTACTGCCATCTGGACGAAAAAGTGTTATTCGAAAAAGCATATCCGCCGCCAACCGATCCACATAAAATAATCCAAAGCATGGAAATGTTGGACGAACCTTTTGTTGAAACGATATCTAAAGAGTGGGTTTTTGTAACGAACGATTTAATAATCGCATATCRCATCGATAACCATAAATATGTAATACATATTCATCTACTTTTCCAACAGGATTCTTGGAAGTTTCCCAAACTCGTACGCTTTCACGAAATGTCTTTCTGAACATTTAGTGGTGGAGCAAATTGAAGCCGGTTTGCCTTGTATAATCGCTCGTCCATCCATTGGTCAGTGTATTTATTTTAGCGWTGCGCTTGTGATTTTCAAATTCCCATTGATTTTTGTTTACACCGTTTATGTYTGTTACCGGTACAGTCATACCAATATGGAAGGAGCCTCTCCCAGGATGGACAGACAATATCAATGGACCGACGGGCTTGCTGATAGGTGCCGGTAAAGGAGTTATCCGCACAATGTTCTGCCACAATCAAGGTTACGCTGATTATCTACCAGTCGATATAACCGTGAATGGTATATTACTGTTCACGTGGAATTATATAGACAACAAGTAAGT